CATCATGCGCCACATGACCTCACCAGTGATAAGCAGCCTCTTTACCCGCATCCAGCTGACCTTTGCGTAACACAATGTTGCACGCACAATGGACGTGGTCAAGCAAACAGAGCGTGGGGCACATGCGCAGAAAGGCGAATGACTGTCGTTATGGTTGAAAGCGCTACGCACATTCAATGATAACGAGGCACTCAGTCACACAAACAAGCCATTACGCGCATTAGGCGTAGGTACTCGGTGAAACGTGCGAACCGGAGACGGAGTTTCGTGGCATGATTGTTTTGATTGCACTCTCCACACATTATGGCGGATGACGAAATGTCTATTTTGCCACCGACTGTTTCGGTTCACACATGCTACGGTAGCTTCCATAGAAAAATAGAAGTTTTTCGTCAAGAAAGCTAAAATGAAATGCAATGCAATGCGTTGGTTTGCATGCAATGCCATTTGTCGACTTTGGCTATGACTACTTTAGACCCTTTTCTAAAATATTTCATATACCCATTGCGTAAAAGTGATCTTGTCTGGCGTGCGCCACCTATTCTTTTGCTTCTTAACGTTCGTTTCTACCTCCTAGCTGGCAATTCCGCTAACTCATTTTCTGCTGTCCGGTTTTGACGTAATGTTTATTGCGTTGCTGGGAAAGAGTGAGAAACATTCCTGATTATCTCCTATTGAGTAGCGTAGGCACGCATTTCGACACATTTCGATTTTCTGCACCGCCCGTCCAAGGTGGGGGGAGTCTCCCGGCGGGGCATAACAGCAAACGAGCCGGCCCGGGGCGGGGACCGCCTGGGAACCAAATCACACTCTAAGGCCACGCGGACCCTGGAATGCAATGCGGGATGCGGACTGCGGGCACGGCACTGCGCATGCACAGTGTCAAGCTCTGCGAAGGGCGAGGGGTGATGCCCCTGCGTTTCCATCACCGCGGATGGGTGAAGGAAGGACTGTGCCAGGCGGTGCCCAGTGCTGTTCCCGCATGTCACTGTGGACATGCCAGGGCGGAGAACGGCCGGTCGGATAAGTAGCCTGACAGTAGCGACCGTTTGTGAGAGCTCTTGTAAATGCAAGTGTTTTAATTGTTGTAATTGTAATTGTGAAGCGTGATTGTAATTGTGCGTGGTCACTGTTCGCACTGCGATGTCATTGTAAAGTGTTGCGATGAGGCCAGACGTGGTTCGATCTGGTCGGCGAGAGGGTATCCGCACCTGACAAAGCGAGATTGGCCCGCGGCTCGCAACACCCGCACCTGACACAGCGAGAGTGGCCCGTGACTCGCAGCACCCGCACCTGACACGGCCGGACGGCCGGGCACTGCGTGGGGCCGGCCACGCACGCCCAGGCACGACGGCCCGCTGATTTGTCTTTGCTGTGGCCGTCTTGATCTAGACGTGGGAGGCAGCTATAAGGATCTGCGTCGGTTCATAACGGCCGCACCGGTCCAGTGTCGCGACCGTACGGTTGGTCAGGGCCGCGTCCGTAACAGGTTTCTTTAATTAGATTTTGTTTTCTGTCATACGGTCCGGCTGGTTTTTGCTTGCTGCTTTCTTGGCTCATATCGTTACTTTGGAGAGACCGAGCTTTGATCGAGCCCGTCTGCCGTGCATGCGCGGATTTCCTTATCATCACACTTCCTTTCCTCTTTTTTTTTGTTTGTCGCTTCGTTCACCGTGATGTACTAATTGCTCTTTGCATTGTGTCCACGCCCTTTTTCTTTCGTTTGTTTCACCCAGATGACTCCGGGAAGGCGGTCGAACTCTAACCCCGTCCTGCGCAGCGAGGTGCAGCTCAATAGTTCTTCACTAGCTTCCTAGCCCTGGGTCCGCCTTGTGACTGTTTGGTCTGGAGCTTGGACCGTACTCCGGAAGTGCTATGACCCCATTACGTAGCCTATTACTGTTGGGTCCAAAGTTTGTGCCGTCCTCCAAAATAGATCACACTCTCCAAATGTCCATGCAGCGCAGTGTGAGGAGTTCCAGCTGTGTCCCACCATCGCCCTGACTGTGTGACCTCACCTATTACTATGGTGTCTGGACACAATGTGAGGAGTTCCAGCTGTGTCCCTGACTGTGTGACCTCACCTATTACTATGGTGTCTGGACACAGTGTGAGGAGTTCCAGCTGTGTCCCACCATCGCCCTGACTGTGTGACCTCACCTATTACTATGGTGTCTGGACACGTGTGAGGAGTTTCCAGCTGTGTCCCACCATCGCCCTGACTGTGTGACCTCACCTATTACTAATGGTGTCTGGACACAGTGTGAGGAGTTCCAGCTGTGTCCCACCATCACCCTGACTGTGTGACCTCACCTATTACTATGGTGTCTGGACACAGTGTGAGGAGTTCCAGCTGTGGTCCCACCATCACCCCTGACTGTGACCTCACCTATTACTATGGTGTCCTGGACACAGTGTGAGGAGTTCCAGCTGTGTCCCACCATCGCCCTGACTGGTGGACCTCACCTATTACTATGGTGTCTGGACACAGTGTGAGGAGTTCCAGCTGTGTCCCACCATCGCCCTGACTGTGTGACCTCACCTATTACTATGGTGTCTGGACACAGTGTGAGGAGTTCCAGCTGTGTCCCACCATCACCCTGACTGTGACCCTCACCTATTACTATGGTGTCTGGACACAGTGTGAGGAGTTCCAGCTGTGTCCCACCATCGCCCTGACTGTGTGACCTCACCTATTACTATGGTGTCTGGACACAGTGTGAGGAGTTCCAGCTGTGTCCCACCATCACCCTGACTGTGACCTCACCTATTACTATGGTGTCTGGACACAGTGTGAGGAGTTCCAGCTGTGTCCCACCATCGCCCTGACTGTGTGACCTCACCTGTTACTATGGTGTCTGGACACAGTGTGAGGAGTTCCAGCTGTGTCCCACCATCGCCCTGACTGTGTGACCTCACCTATTACTATGGTGTCTGGACACAGTGTGAGGAGTTCCAGCTGTGTCCCACCATCGCCCTGACTGTGACCTCACCTGTTACTATGGTGTCTGGACACAGTGTGAGGAGTTCCAGCTGTGTCCCACCATCGCCCTGACTGTGACCTCACCTATTACTATGGTGTCTGGACACAGTGTGAGGAGTTCCAGCTGTGTCCCACCATCGCCCTGACTGTGACCTCACCTGTTACTATGGTGTCGGGATATCGAGCAGCCCTCTGCAGGCGACCTTGCCCCGTCGCCTATTGTGTGCCCGCGCTATCGGATTGATCAGGCTTGTTACATCGGTGACCTGACCCCATGACCTGCCCTTTCACTCAAGTATCCAGAGCTCCATCTCTCCTCTGCTAACAGCTGCACTCTGTGAGCTGTCATGGTGCCAGCGATGTATGGCTGTCCACCGCCGGTGACCTGATCCTGTGGCTTGGCCCTTTTCTGAGATGACCGGAGCTCCATCCGCCTGTTCTGTAGTGATGGCTCGATGCTCTAGCCCGTCCTGACACCGTGATGCTCGGAGTTCTAGCTCTCTCCCCCCAGTCATCTGATCGTGTGACTTGAAGCTGCGGTGTCTGAGGCTGTGACTGTCCTCCACCAGCCAGCTGACCAAGTGAGTGGCTCCCACCAGTCATATGATCGTGTGACTTGAAGCTGCGGTGTCTGAGGCTGCGTCTGTCCTCCACTAGCCAGCTGACCAAGTGAGTGCCATTGGTGCATTGGTGTCCGGAACTCCGCCCG